ACATGATACCTACAGCTAAAACATCACACAATACAAGACCTGCCCTACATGATACCTACAGCTAAAACATCACACAATACAAGACCTGCCCTACATGATACCTACAGCTAAAACATCACACAATACAAGACCTGCCCTACATGATACCTACAGCTAAAACATCACACAATACAAGACCTGCCCTACATGATACCTACAGCTAAAACATCACACAATACAAGACCTGCCCTACATGATACCTACAGCTAAAACATCACACAATACAAGACCTGCCCTACATGATACCTACAGCTAAAACATCACACAATACAAGACCTGCCCTACATGATACCTACAGCTAAAACATCACACAATACAAGACCTGCCCTACATGATACCTACAGCTAAAACATCACACAATACAAGACCTGCTCTACATGATACCTACAGCTAAAACATCACACAATACAAGACCTGTCTCTTATACACATCTAGATGTGTATAAGAGACAGAGCTTACACTCGTCGCTCCCTGAAACATTGCTCATTATTGCTCTTCTTCATTCATTATTGTTCTATTGTCTTCTACTTTACCGTCAAATTTATTTCCTTCGTAGGAGCTTACACTCGTCGCTTCCTGAAACATTCTTCATTATTGCTATTCTTTCCTTTATTAATGTCCAATTGTCTTTTACTTTACAGGCAAATTTATTTTCAGGATTTTTAGGACGAGCAACGACTTAAATTAAGACATGAAAATTTTATGACAGAACGGGTAACGACTTAAATTAGGAAATAAAAATTACTATGTTATAAAAATGTAACACTGAATGCTCAATTAACACATGCTAAGATAAAAAATCGTCTCTATGGAACAAAAATTCAACTTAATGTTAACAAAAATGAATTTTTTCGCTAAGCTATGCCAGGCCTGAAAAAAATTAGAAAGCTTTTATTCGGAGATTGTTAAAATCAAACATTAATACACTGAAGCAAGTCCCTGAACTTTACTTTGTGTTTGAATGAATAAGCTATAATCCTACACAATGTTCAGCAGCATGTCATTACCGCTTAGCAAACGTACGCTCTACATACGTGCATTTCACACTGTGCGTGAAGGAGACTCGAGAATTTAGACCACTTTCAGTGGTCAGAAAACTAAGACACTGAGTAGATGATGATAATAATAATATAAAAAGAATCAACATCACGTCAAGATAATATTTAAAACTTTATTGATATTTGTCGAAGAAATTTTGAAGAATGTTGAGATAACATTTTTTGGAACTGCTTTGAAACATGCACACAGTAATAAAGTGGATCAAGTTGGAGGAACTAAATTATGAGGTCAAAATACAGGATATTTTGTGGGAGATTACGTTAATGGAAATGAACTTACCACATCGTAAAAATCCTAACACACTATCAAGGGGGGTTTTATTCTAATGTTCGTCTTCTTAGGCGAACATAGGCTTAAAATTCATAACTGACAGCAGTAGCAGAGGATACGTGAGAAACGTGCAGGTAATCCCCTGCAACCATCTCGCCCTCCCCCACCACATCGTCCAATTGCTGGGGAGTCAAAAACCACTCACTCCGCGTCCTCATCCTCTCGGTCTGGCGTTCGTGAACCTGCACACGACACTCCTGATGTCACACTCAGGATCACACGCACTCAACTGCATGTCACGAACACCACTTTCCTGTGCAGCTGGTCGTCTTCGACATCGCGTACATGTACTTAGCTGTGTGATTAGCATACATGTACGTAGCTGTGATTAGCGTACAAGTACGTATATGTGATTAGCGTACATGTACGTATCTGTGATTATCGCACATGTGGGTACGTATCTGTGATTAGTGTACATGTACGTTTCTGTGATTAGCGTACATGTACGTATCTGTGACTAGTGTACATGTACGTATCTGTGACTAGTGTACATGTACGTATCTGTGATTAGTGTACATGTACGTATCTGTGATTAACATCGTAACCTTAATGTGCACGAGGATGTAACGGTCATCGCGTTAGAGACTTTTATACGGCTGTGCGCTGCGATCTCTACGAGACGTTATACGAATCGTGTTCTTGAAGACAAAGAATCAGACGAGTCGATATGATAAGTTGGCTGTGTTGCAACTTCATGGAAAAAAACTAAGAGCACCGAGTTCAGTCAAACTTCGAATGACATTTGACGGGTGGCCTAAATTTTTGTATTTTTTAATTAATTAATCGCAACCATGATTTTTTCCAAAAGAATTCAGACTATTGGCTGCTGTATTTTACACGCCGAGTTAGGAAAATCAGTGTCACGCTCAAGGTCTTTAATCAAGCTTCAATCCATCAGTGAAGGCCCCCCTCAGCCATGTTCGTTCCAGATTTAAGAGTAGACGGCATCGACATCTTATACGGCCTCAAGTGAAATTTTCACGCGGGTGCAGCTGTAATGAACAAGTTACAATAAGACTACCTACATCTTGTGTGTTTCCTCGCAGCATTTTTAGCAAGGTGGAAATCGTCCATATATTTAGGTCGTTTGCTACTGCATTTAATCACTCTTTCACTTACAAGATACGAGGATAATCAAGTTATGGTTATCAATAAATTGGGGCCAAGATTGAATTACGCTTTGCTAGCATGCAAATCAAGAGAATACGTGTAACCATATGTAACTCCAGTTACATTGAGTTAATAATAATTATGATAATTTCAGCAACTATATTAACCATAAATAAACTCTTGCGATCAGTACTTTAGGTTGTGACTAAAGCAACTCATACACGCAAGGCCTTCGAGGAGAGAATAAAGTCATTATGTCAATCAAAAACCTATGCACGAGTTTGCAATTTTCAATTTGAGAGAAAACCTGTAATCATATTTTAATGAAACCACTTATTACTGTTTGTGCCAATATATAGAATTAAGGGCATCTGCGGCATGTATACATTTTCACCAATACGTGAATTACAACACAGAAGAAAGTTTAGATAACATTAAAATTTTAACGCCTTTGCCACATTCTAAAGAAGCTCTGATGAAAAAATTTCATCCAGAAAACATTTTTAAAAATAATGACTCGAATCAACTGGTGTTGAACTTACCTATCAGATGTTTACATGAACCCAAACCAGAGAGAATCTGCCATAACTTTAACAAAAATTTCATTCTCTTAGAATTTATATAAAATCTTAATCTAGAACTAGGTATTAGATGATAGGAAACCCGCACACTAGAATTGCCTAGACCATTTAAATTAAAACAAACGAGGCAGGAAATTCATGCAGCAAATGACAACGTAATGACCCCAAGCGAGACAACGTAATGTAAGTATAAATGCATGCAGGAGATGTTATTCAAGCAACAGAGATAATAACAGGGGATTCAAATTCAAGCAACAGAGATAAGTGGTAAGAAGCAATAACAAGGAAAGAGGTAAATGCAGTAATTGTAATTGGTTAATTTCGAACAGCGAATTAACGATCACGCATAATCCATTTGAATATGTTACGTATTTGGAAAAGAGAATGAAAGCAGATTCAGAAGACATTCCTTGATTGTTAAGCTTCAATTTTGAAAAATTCGATGATCCCAGCCCAAGTCAGTTTTAATCCTCAAGGGACACGTGAAAAACTTGGAAATTGATTAAAAAATGAAAGTGACTCCAATCTAGATAAGCATAGTTATATTATGAAAAAATTAGACCGTAAATATAATATCCAAAGCCAAATGTGTTTTCCAGTGAAGACCCAGTGATGGCAAGATCGAGGTCGATGGAATAGTGAATTAACTCAATGAAATAAAGAAACCGCAATTATAGCGTACACTTCTCAAGCCACATTTCATCTACAGTAACTATAGAATAAATTGAAAAATAAATAATATATTATGATGCTGTGCAAATGGATCGTAGTTTTAGCGTGGATGTTGGCTACACACTACGGTAGAACAGAAGTTTTCGAGGGGACAAGCTAGAAACACGTTTGCAATGGAACAAGTTATTAAAGTAAAAAGTTCTCAAGGGAATAAATTTTCAATGGAACAAGTGTCACTGAGGGAATAAGTTTTCAATAGAACTAGTAACTAAGGGACTAGTTACTAAGGTCGGGACCACGAGGCAGCGGCGCTAGACACAGCCGATTGCGTTCGAGAAAGGAGATGGCTAGCGCTCTATATAATCTACTACCATCTTCGATACGGACAACAAATTCGTAGGAAAAGGTCACAATACAGTTTATAACACGATATAAGTCGAATATTAGTAATTACGAATTTTGGCATGCTGAAAAATCCTTCAACGTATGACTTATTTTGCAGTCAAAGATTTGATTAAATTCACACGTCCAATCAAAGCTAGGCAAGGAAAAGCGATGTTTGGCATATAGTTTTTTTGAATTGAATGTGTAAGACGCGAACGTTCACGAATATTAACAAAAAGTATAGTTTTCACCGAGAGCTGGTGGCATTGGTGTGCATGTGAACACCATACATGCATAACAATACTAATCGCTCATTATTTATTCAAACATTGAGGAAAAACTAATGCAGGTTGGACATCGTTAAAAAAACATCAAGCGTCGCAATAATGTTATCGAAGGGCAATTCCACGCCAAATACTACAACTTCAGATTAAAGCCATTCCATTTCACTAGTAAATACGCAACATCTTAACGGCTCCAACATTTAATATGCACGGAACTGTTATTTACACTAGTACATTCACTTGGACGCTGAGGGGGGGGGTGCAGGCAAACTAATATCTACGAGCAGACATAAATCCCGACCTACCTCATAACAAATCCCATGTGTATATCGAGAGCCTTATCCTCCACGACCACAAAAGACCTACCTATGATATTCAACTCCTAAACTGACGGTAACCCTATAGTTACTAGGCCTTTATAGGTACAAATAACCTGAACGGTGGTCGATGTAACCGTAGAAAAATTGCTAACCGAACATCTCCTAGCGGGAATTTTCGTTACCAGGCCTTTCGATCGGACCAGCTTTGACAGTAATAAATGAGCCCCGTAGGCAGGCAAAAGGTGTTAAGAAGGCTAAGAAGAAGGTGATGGTGATGAGTGAGTTAGTGTGCAGTCACCTGTGGCAGGAAGGAGAGCGACTTGGTACTTTCAGCGTAGTGGTTCACCTGGCGAAGCTCCTCCAAGGTAAGGTCGTCGGTACGACGGGCGCCACCACCGCCACCACCACCCCCCCCACCACCGCCGCTACTGCTGCTGGTGGCCCCACCGCTACCGCCACATATGCCGCCACTGCAACCCAACCCGCCACCCTGATCGAGGCATCGGCATGGCTAGACTCAACGTCATCCGCCACAACGGCAAACCGCTGTCAGGTGCGCCAACGCCACAACGGCAAACGAATGTCAAGTGCGCGCCAACGCCACAACTGCAAACGACAGTCACATGCGCCGATGTGACAACGGCAAACGATTTCAGGTTCAGTCAATGGAACGCCGGTATATAGTAGCAGATTTGCATATCTCAACACCTATGTATAGATTTACACCATAGATCCATAGAATCACCTACCGAATCAGCCATAAATAGCTAAATTGCAGTGAACTTAGCTTGCGATTTGCATGACAGTTGCCAAGTTTGCTTAGGATATAACTGGGTACCTAAATTAAAAAGACTTTCGATTTGCGCCCAATGCTGGATAAATTAGTGAGAAGAATTTATAGACATGAAATAAGGTTGAATTTACAAAGAAGGATACGTAATGATAGTTCAACGAGCGCTAATATTGATTAGAAAGAAATGATTAGATATTTCAATACAATCTAAAGAAGGATACGTAGAGATAGTTCAACGAACAATAATAGTTATTAGAGACAAGTGATTAGATATTTCAATCCAAAGAAGGATATACGTAGAGATAGTTCAATGAACGATTATAGTTATTAGAGACAAATGATTAGATATTTCAATACAATACAAAGAAGGATATACGTAGAAATAGTTCAACGAGCGATAATAGATTTTAAAGACAAGTGATTAGATATTTCAAGTCAATGATAAGGTACGTGCAAGCAAAGGAATACGATCGCATGAGAGCACTAAACAACATCATAAACAATAACAACTGAGAAGAAGGCAGCGGTCAAGATAACATCGCAGTACACAGGAAAAGTCTGCAAAATCGTTCGCTTGAAAGAACAAGTAAGGATCTTGCAGATCGCAGAAGCGGCCACAGAGAATTTATCGATACAGAACATCAACTTAGCGTCCCAGCAGACAGTTGAAGTTGAAATAACGTTAATAAAACGTTGCTTCAACGAATTCAACTTGTAATCAACGTCATTTGTCTGGAAGAGTAGAACTAAGAGGCAGAAGTATAAACGGAGTTCACTCACCGCTAAATTATTCCATATCCCATCAGTGAATCTCTACGATTCACAAATTTTTCATGGCAATAAAATTCAACTGAATATCACGAAGAACTAATCAGAAGGAATGTTTTATCAATAATTATTTCCCATAAAATTCGTTATGCAGCAAACAAATTCAAATTCGATTAAAAGGCCTTCAAGAATGCAGCACAAAAATATCTATAAGAAGCAAAATAATATAAATCTTACAAACACGCCACTTAGTTTGAACGGAGCAAGCCCAGGTAGATTTTGGGATTTAAGTTAAACCCGAATAAAGAGAAATAAAGAAGTGACATAACATGATCAAATTTACAAGTAAATTAGATCAATTTCTAAGTTATAATCAATTGTGAATCTTGACGTGAACAAAAATATATTATATCCCAAAGCATAATTGATAGAAAAAAGTAGATGGCTGGAGTTCAGCAAAATAGAATTAATATATCAACAAGCAAAAAGCAGTCAATGAAAATGAGGATTCCAAATCATTCCTTTATCTTTTGAGCTTTAAAAAAAACGACATGGTCAAACTGAAGGCAAAAAAAACAACGATCTGATATAATAACAATTAACGTCCCCACATAAATTGACAAGATATAGTCTTATAGTACAACAAATACCCACTAATATGCAACAGTAATAATGTGTAATGTAATAATATGTAATGTAATAATGTGTAAAAATTTAATAATGTAAAAATAAGTAATGTGCACCATTAATATTGTTACCTTATATAGGCCGTTCTCCTCCAGAGATATGCTGAGCCGCGTACAAGACTCGCGCAGGTTGTTCTCAGGCACGGCGACCCTGAGACTGCTGCCGCTGCCCCCCTCCAGACACGCAGCGCCCCCCGTCGCCCCCCCTGGTGACGACGCAGAGCTGCTGCCCTCGGGCATGTGGACCAGGGCGGGCGTCGACTGAGACTCCTCCTGACCTGCCATGGCTGTAGGAACGATAATCAGAGGCGATCCATCGTGGCCTGGGACTGCTACGTCCTAAACTAATACTAAGGAAACTAACGTGCGAGACGTGAGTGCGTATGTTGTACGAGTCAGAACATTAGTGGGTATGTGTTCATGAGTGGGTGTGTGTTGCATGGACCAGCACATTAGTGGGTGTGTGTTGCATGGACCAGCACATTAGTGGATGTGTGTTGCATGGACCAGCACATTAGTGGGTGTGTGTTGTACGGACCAGCACATTAGTGGGTGTGTGTTGTATGGACCAGCACATTAGTGGGTGTGTGTTGTATGGACCAGCATATTAGTGGGTGTGTGTTGCATGGACCAGCACATTGGTGGGTGTGTGTTGTACGGACCAGCACATTAGTGGGTGTGTGTTGTATGGACCAGCACATTAGTGGGTATGTGTTGTATGGACCAGCACATTAGTGGGTATGTGTTGTATGGACCAGCACATTAGTGGGTATGTGTTGTATGGACCAGCATGCGAGATGTTAGATAATTGGAGTTCCATAATTGTTAAAATATGTGTAGAGGCCTTAGTACATTTGTATAGTTAAAGAGGAATAGTGATAATGGGTGTATTGTGTGTAATGCGTGGTGATTGTAGTTGCATTTCACGATATATGTAAAGTAAATCCAGAAAAATTTTATACATACATGATTGAGCTTTTTGTGCTCATTACAAGCTGCATAAATTTGTGAAAAAAAATCGTATCCGAGTGAGTGACCGAAGCATTTTGGATACAAGAACCAAATGATATTATGGCAAATGATTCTAATGTTTTAAAGTTCCAAGTTCAACTTCCGGATCCAACGCAGTGGAATTTGGCACTCGAGCATAAAACATAATCAAATTTACTTCAATTCACTCTATAAACGCATGCCGATGAATTTTGCGTAACTGTAAGCACAAAATTAAAGAAAAATTTCCCAAAAAATCAACAGTGAAAAATAAATACGAGAAAAAAACACTTGCAATAAATGTGTTCTTTAACAAGTTGGAAGTTATTAATCAAAATTTTAACAGTGAAAAAAATATGAGAAAGAAAAACTCTTGAAGAAAATGTCTTCTTGGAAAAAAAAGTTGGAAGTTAGTAGTGTAGCGTGACCGATCGAGGGTGGGTGACTCAAATTATTTATCGGCACCAGCGCAGCGCTTAGTTTTATTGACATTTCATCAGATTCACAATTAGAAAACACATGTTGACTTTGCTACTAAGTAACCCTACAATCAAGGATAAATCCCTAATTAGCTTACAACAAACTGACATTATCTTAAAGACCTACGAAATAATAAAACGGACAAAAACGACGTAGAAATGCAGCCGACGCTCGTCAAATGAGCGGCAGCGTTTCGCGATATGCCCATTAGCAATTGACAAATTATAACATGAAATTAAGCGACTAACACCAAGAAAAAGAGATCAGAAAACGAAAATAAATTCATATAATATGAATTTTAATCTTCTTTACGAAAGAACCTTGAAGAAAAAAAAAGCCGTTACGTGAACTCAAAATAATGCAATGAAATTATGAAAATATCGATATTCTTTCTAATCATAAAAATACACGAGTTTACTCTTCATTGAATTACACATAAAGAAACAATAGAATGAGCGGAGCATAGGTACATCAAAATAAAAGAAAAACAATGTAAGAACAAATTCGTTACAGCCAAACGCGAAATCTTTCTTAAAACAATAGTAAAAAAACAACCAAGAGGAAGGCAGGAAGCGGAATTATAACGATGAAACTTCACAAATTATTGTAAGCCATAAATTCCTAGGAAAAAATATCCATCACTGGCATTGCTGTCAACAAAATTGTGAAGGGGTCACGTGATTCACGATGCCAAATAAGAACCAATGCTGCTTGAAGCCAAAACCAAAACAAAATATATGTAAATTAGGGAAGGCACATTGTGAAGGACGAATGGGATTCAACGTCGAATAAAAACTTGGAGCAAACCTTCAAGGTTGAACTTGAGGCCCCAGCGATCTGACTCCAATTGGAGCCAGGATTTCTCAGCCTCCAAGGACACTTGGCCTGTAAGTCAAAGCGAGTCACGCGTTGGAGACCAAAGTACCGCTCCAAAGGCGAGTTAACAAGACGGTAAAGATTAGAGTAAGTTTAAATAAATGAGAATGAGTGAAAAGAGTGAGTACAGGTTATGTAGTCAAGCGAAATAGTCTTCGACAATAAAGTCACTTCAGTGAAGATAATGAAATGACACAGAGTTTCAAAGCATGTCGCGAAATACGGTATTCAACGACAATAAAAAGTCACTTCAGTGGAGATAATGAAATGACACAGAGTTTCAAAGCATGTCGCGAAATACGGTATTCAACGACAATAAAAAGTCACTTCAGTGAAGATAATGAAATGACACAGAGTTTCAAAGCATGTCGCGAAATACGGTATTCAACGACAATAAAAAGTCACTTCAGTGGAGATAATGAAATGACACAGAGTTTCAAAGCATGTCGCGAAATACGGTATTCAACGACAATAAAAAGTCACTTCAGTGAAGATATTGAAATGATACAGAGTTTCAAAGCATATCGCGAAATGTTCATCGACAATAAAGTCACTTCAGTGAAGATAATGAAATGACACAGAGTTTCAAAGCATACCCTATATGCAGGCTATCTGCGTCGAAATGCACAACACAAGGAATCAACCACAATTCATTTGGCATGAAACGAAAAGCGGCTCCTAATTACATTAACAGAGAAACCACAATTATTAGACATTTAAGGAAGGGTGGCAATCACTTAAATATTTCTGATCTGAAATGTAATCATGAAGAACATGCGTCCTATTAGAAAGATGACAAGGAAGTGGTTAACGCGAGTTACTAACGAAGTTAAAAAGAGACCTGAGAAATAACTGCGAATGAGACGATAATCAGTAGAGAGATACAGAAGGAGATACAAGTGCGACCTTGAGTATAAGTTTCAAGAGAACTTCAAAGAAAATCCAATTTTAGAGCAGGAATATCGAACAGATATCTCGATGACTACGCGTGTCATTATCACCGTACAGTATTTATCCTAATTAGCTGTTGAGAACATGTAGGTACCTATATCGTGCGCACTCAACATTACAAAGATTGGAATTTCTAAATCTAGCTTCGTAGTAAAGTAAAACTATTTTTAATCAACAAAGGTAATGAAGAACCTAATGCAATGCAATAGGTAATTTGTTCAGAATTAGGACACTCACGTGCGACGAGGCTGTCCCTAGGATATCTGTAGGCGAAGATCCAGTCTTCTTCGACTCTGAGCACGCGTCCTGTGATCCTAGCGTAATATTCGTAGTTCTCGCGGCCAAACAAGTTACTCACGCCGAAATTGTCCACCATGAACTGCATGATCTGAGTCGCCACCTGAACAAATACCAATAGTAATAAGAATTCACTGAGAAAAATAATCTAATCATTTTGGGTTCATTAGTTGCAGTTTTTTGCTAAATCAGAGAAAAAAACTATGTATTTGAATGATATAAATATGAGCTTCGAGTAAAGAAGATTTCAACTGCCAATTCGACCTGGTAATATCATATTATCAATAACGGAGTCCTTGCTCTATTAACTAACAAAATGTTCTGTAGCACTATTAACAGTCTGGCTGTATAGAAAAATACGAGAGAGGAACATTAAAAGCTGCTACACAATTAAACCGCGACATTTCAATTAAGTTCTCAGGTTTATTTTCTACTGCAGCCCACATCACAACGACAGCCGGGAAATGATCAAGCAATGAAGGAAATTGAGGCTTACGAGTTTATCGGCAAATCAATAACCTGCGTATAGAAAACAGATATTTCTTTCTGCGCGGTTATTGTTATAATTTTACGTAATAAATTCTATATTGTAATGTACTATAATTGAACACAGCGCGCTGAGATCACCCACGGCACTAAAGAGACACTAATGGATACTTCACAGGAGACATACGATGATACAACATCGAACACGCGCAAATATTAACGAAGTAAAATTTTTTAATTAAACAAGCCAAATGAACATTATTAATTAGGATAGGGTGACACGCAGTTGTATGAAACAGAGAATGCGGATAGGATCAAAATGCTGATAAAACGCAAATAATAACGAATTATAAACTTTTCAATTAGACCAGCCAAATGAACATTGTTAGTTAGGATAGGGTGACACGCAGTTGTATGTAAGAAAGAAAATGCGGATAGGATCAAAATGCTGATAAAACTCAATCGATGTCACCAGCAGAATTTATACGCAGGTGAGCGAACTGCTCGCAGACAGTTCTTAATAAGAAATGCAAACATCGCGTTAAATTTATAGCAGTATATTTAACAACAAAGATCTTAGATATTTCTCAGAAGAATCAAGAAGAGATATCCCAAAAAGATGAGACGTTCAACGTAACTCCTACACATGGACACCATCCGAACAATCCTCCTCAAAGTTAAGGTGTGATAAGGTCATCTTAAATCTTTGCAGAGTCGAAGGAACTAATGCCCTAGTAGTAGAAACATTTAGATTGATTAACCATTATACCTGAAGCGATCAGTATCAATACTTGAAATCAAGACCGAAATAAGTTTTGAATGAGACTTGCGAGATAATGTGAATTACATACTCAATATGTAATTCATATGTTATATATTATAAACTTTTCATTTCTCATAAAAAACATCGATAACATTGCCACGGTAATAAGCAGGGGTAAAAGTGAAATTGTACAAAATCGTGCCCTTCAACAGCATTACCACCATCACCACCGCTTATTACCAATGACCAAGCATATGCATTATGCAGGTTATGCATGGAATTTCATGACTAAAGAACAGTAACGTATTGAATGGTGTAAAAAAATCTTTCATATAGATGGAAGATGCATTGATCTCAAGCTAGTAGTCAGGTTTCCAAGGAAAAATACACAGAAGGCACACCTTCGACAAGCTGTAAGCAAAACTAGAGGTATGAAATAAATTGTAGCGGAATATAGGGTAGAAATATTGAAATAACCAAGTACACACCAACTGAGTCAGCAACAACAACAGTAACCGAGCACCCATGTCATGATTGACTCATGGTCGTAGAGTAACATGAACATCGACAAGAAATCTTGAGCTTGACATAATTCCGGTGGTGATGGCGAACTAACTCAAGTGATAGAAACTTCAATCATGAAGCGCATTCGAGATCAAATCTTAAATACAAATTTACATACGAGGAAATGCAGCTTGTATTGTGATTTGAAGTTAAAGCAAGCAATTGGACTCGTAATCTAGATCTGCGACCGCAACCACCCCAGAAAACTTTTCCTATTGTGTTGCTTGGTCCCAAACATGTAATATTTTGCATGAGCTTTAGAAACGTTTAGGATCGATGCACTGTTTTACTATGTCGGATATTTCTGCTGATGAGGGTGGAAATCTACGATACAACAACGAGGTAATATCATAACATACAACATTGAAACTGCCGGGTCACGGAAAATAAAAATGAAAGCCTTAAGAGGTTGTTTAGAATAACGCTGAAATATTTTGTTCGGATAACCTGTTAGGGTCTTCACGTTACGTACAGCCTGAATTCGTATTGAAGCAAACAAATTAATAATTAAATCAGTTGGCCGTATTTTTAATTAAATATTCGGGCGAGGTATGCTCGAAGACAAGTATTCGTTCTTTATTTCAATTAAAATAAATTTTAAACATACACAGGCGATTTTATTGAGATAAAAAAAATGTCCTCTCATTCCCTTCGTTTATTCTATATGAACTGAATGGGAGATGTTACTATGTTAATTAAATGGGAGATGTTGCAAGGATTTAGGAACATCCAGTAAAGAGGGCGACACGACATCAATGATCGTCCACGCAACATTGAGCACGTCAACATTACCATGTATGCGGCCTTAACGTTACTTACATTAATGTCAGCCTAGTGTATGCATGAGAGAGAGAACCAAGAGATAGCAATACGGTACAAGACTGACACACTCATTCAGTACGTAAATAATTCAGTTCCTTCATTGATATTAAGTTATGTCTCCACTATTATGAATGAAATAGAACTTTATACCTCTATACTGAAACAGTATAAATTTCATTAATTAGGTGATTTGAACGAAACAACAACGAAAATTTAAATTCAGAGGGTTATTCAACCAGTCACATCCTATACATACATAAATTTAAATTACCAATTAAAGTTAATTGTCAAGACAAATATAATTGCATCTGAAGCGACAATAATTAAGGCGAGGCAGGTTTTGAGTTGTTAACAAGAATTACTTATACAAATATCACGTCGGAGGAAGTAGCCCACGCTTGGGTACCTATTCGGGACACATTTTAAACCCTGGATTAAAACTAAATAGTAAACCCAACAACTACATACTATGTACAAGATGTTTAACTAGAATATAACTATATAATAGTAAACCCAATAACTAGATACTATTTAAAAGTTGTTTAACTAGAATATAACTATATAATATGTGTGCGATGTCGATAGCACTAAGCCAAACTAGGCATCAGTTTGATAAAGAGATAAGGACAATTTGAACGTCGTAATAACTACACACCATGTACAGCATAAGAACTACATATAGTATTTACTAAGCAGGTATGCATGGTAACACTAGGTTAGACTAGACATTAGTGTGTTAGAGAGAGGGTGCCAGAGCACAGCGCTATAACTTCACACTATCTACTCCTACAAGAGAACATAATAACTCTATACGAAGCTATACTATACATTATACTATAAAAATTACAATATAATATACTGTTGAAAACACTAGGTATTAAGCTAATTAGCGTGTGTTAGGGTAAGGGTCACACCTTGAACCTGATCATAGTGCTACAACTTAACTCTAAGACTCACGGTGCCACAACTCTATACAAAGACATACTATACATTTAGTGATGTGGGGTCTCGTAGTGAGACGTCTCGAGATTAGTGATGTGGGGTCTCGTAGTGAGACGTCTCGAGGTTAGCGATGTGAGGTCTCGTAGTGAGACGTCTCGAGGTTAGTGATGTGAGGTCTCGTAGTGAGACATCTCGAGATTAATAAGGAGTCCCGTAGCGGGACGTTTCGAGATAGTGTTGTAGAGTCTCGTGATGAGGTGTCTCGAAATTAGTGCCGTGGTGTCATGCTGAGTGATATCTCGTATGTGTTATTTATTGTTGTGTCTCGCTGTGCAACGGATTCTGCTGTGCGATGTTTCAGACGTCATGATAAAATCTGATACGCTGCAATGCTCTGATAAAGTTTAAGATGCTTCATAAAACTAGGAAGTTAAGCAACAACTTTATAATGAAATAATTCTCAGGCACTCCTGATACAGCCATCACACAATAAATCACAGTCTGGAGTGGATGACATCACAATCAATGACAGTCTGGATATACATTATGCATCCACCCAAAAACAACAGAAACTTCATGCACTATCCTATAAATCCATTCTGCAAGAGGATATTGCAGCCGAACGATGCGACACTAGCTCGTGAAATACATTTATTATGCCAGCTAGCAAACATAATTGAATTAGCTTTCATTACCTTTTTGCTTCAAATAAAGAAACGTGATTTAGCCCTTAATCTGTTGAACTTAACTATAGCCACCGGGCTTTAACAATGATTACTAGACGATTAATCTAAGGGTTAGACTCCTATTTAACCAGGTCACCTAGCATCAAATTCAACAGTGTTAACGATGGCTACAAAAACCACATAAAAATGGTTCAAGCACATGTGTCATATGGCTCATATCTCACCTGAATGTGCCGAAGAGCAGCACAAGCAAATGCTGTGCCACAATAGGACGTGAAGTGATAAGTTTATGCACTAAGTCTCTTTGCTGCTCAGTGTCCGTGAGCTGAATCATATTGAAAAGCTCTTCTTCACCGGTGCGTCCAAATATTCCTTCTGGGAGCTTACGCAAGAACTTCTTCAGCACGGACGCTATGGTGTACACGCTGAAATGTTCTGCAAAACCCGGCATTATATTAACTTACTGACTCTAATCTCATTTAGCGATCACTGAAATCAATCTCTAATGTCTCAAATTGAGAATTGACTGCGCGCATACCAATATTTAGATTTGACTGAGTGTACCTATACCGCATTATTGAGATTTGACTGCGTGAGTAACAATATTGAGATATGACCGAGTCTATACAGCAATATTGAGATTTGACTACGTGCATATACCAATATTGAGATTTTACTGCTTGCATCCCAATGTTGAAATTTGACAGCGTGCATCCCGCAATATTAAGCTTTGACTTCAAGTATACCAATATTGAGAATTGACTGCGTGAAAATCAATATAGAGATTTGACTGCTATCAATATAGAGATTTGACTGCATGGATAACCGCGATATTGAGCATTGAGTGCGTGCATACCAATATTGACGAGTCTGCCGTGGTGTAGGAAGTGTATGAGTTTCTTCATCGAGGCCTGGTTGCCCGGAGCCCTGAATACATCCTTCTTCATAGGACCCTCCTTGTTGAGCTTCAGTATAAGGACCAGAAGGGGGCCGGGGATATCATCGTTCTTGCACACCTGTTCCAGCGGCACTCCGAACTTTACTCTGAGGAACAAATGCGAGATTCACTTTAATTATATCGATCAGATGAACAAACTACAATTTTGCTTGTAAATAACAGAGAAAAAGTTCCAGTCTAGCTACAGATTGAATCCGCATTTCGGTCAACTTAAGACCAACCATGAATCGGGAATGATTTTGAAAACATATACGTACGTTATTATTATTTTACATACAGTTTAACGCTAAGTTGAAAGACACACAGTTGTTCTCCAACTGAACAAGCTCAACAGGTTTGAAAAGATGAATAAGAAAGACTAAATACTTTCAGACATTTTCTCTTTACAGTGAGATCAAACAGGAAGAACTTTCAATCAGAAACATGTGTGCGCAGGCGGTAGAACCAACAGTACGTACGCCAACATGTATTCTCTTAGATGGACAGTGAGGAATAGGACAAAAAAACAACGCAAGAAGTTGGAGATAAGAAGACAAAGGGACAGGGTCGTTAAGAAGATATCCAGAAGAACAAGGAAGCATTAAGCATACGGGCGATGAAGTCATTATATCGTCAATGTCTCAACTAGAAGGCCAAAGAATTGTTCAATAAACGAGTTCAATTATAAATTTCTAACTACTAAAATAAGCACGAAAACATTTGCTTCACAGTTAACCGTAAAGTTTATAAATTCACAACACACCAACTTACTTTTAAATCGCTGACAAGTATATTATACAAAAATACAAACCAAGAAACACAAAATTGAGAAATTACCAGCAACGAAAGGAATTATTCAGTATTTTAGACCACAAAACACGTTTTAATATAGATATAAACTCCCACAAGAAGTCAAAGTAAAAGGTAGTTTTTAATGTCAAAGTCCTTTATTCTTTAGTTTCATTTGGTGACTTCCCAGTGAAAATTTACAGACGCGTCAGCTTCTGATTTGGATTACCAGAAGCTGGGGCGACTCTAAATTTTGTTACGCAGTGAAAATTTACAGACGCGTCAGCTTCTGATTTGGATTACCAGAAGCTGGGGCGACTCTAAATTTTGTTAGGGTTAGAAATAGACAAGTTTTATTAAATGCACAAATCCGACGCTTGAACGGTCCATGTGAACCTCATTTCGTTCAAGGACAGGAAACAATGCGTACTGCAACAAACGAAAAACGAGATTAAAGCAATCTAGTGACTTTTAAAACAAAGAAAATGATGAGAACAGTCCCAAGGAAAGTTCATTAAGGAGGCCATCAAGATCCCTGAGGAACGCGAAACATGCCAATCAATGCAAATGATGATCGATTTCATCAACTAATCCCGTACCCCATATCGAAACACAGCGTAAAATGCAAGAACAGGCCATTATATATATCTACAGTCGACAGTGCATTCATTCTTCAGGTAAATACATTTGTTAAGTAAATATTTCAGGCATGCATCCAAGAATTAAACCAATAAAACATTAAAATGCCTTATCAAAGCGCTACTAAGAATAGTGTAACCTGACTGTCAACCTTGGCATGTACGATTCATAATTACAAAAATGAGCGAAACAGCACTGCGAGCATGGGTAGAAAAATTTTACTCCCGATGTTTTACAATAACTCACCGAATTTTTTATCTACTAACTACACATTTTTAACCTGAACAAAATAAACCAAGATGATTGGAGCTCCGTATTTCGGCCACAATTTGAGAGCATATAACACTTGTCCAGGATTAA